ATTAAATTACTCAGAATTTTACTAATTAATAGTGCTCTAGTATTAAATGAACTTATTTAGCACTTAAAAATATATCATAACAGTCTGATTTATTTTATCTTTCTTCAATTTTAAAGCAAAGATGCTTAATTTTGAAAATTTTGATTAAAAATTCCAAAATTAAGTATCTTCTATTGAAAAATAAAGAAAATAAAAATAAATATACTGTTATGATGTATTCTTGTGTGCTGAACAAGTTTATTTAAGGAAATGCAGGAAATCACGTAATTTTTTAGGGAGGGAGGGGGGTTAGCAATCTATCACGTTATATATATATATATTTGTATCAATATATCTGATTAGATAGTAGAAAGGATCGACAAAAATTTTCATGTATTACGTTATATACAGTACACTAGAAAAGTCATGACATCTATATAGCTAAAATTTGAGATTAGTTCAATATACATAGCAATTGTTATATTGTTATAATCTCTTGATCTAATTGCTCATTTCAAATACTCATTTAAATAATAGGTCACTATGAAAGTCACGAGCTTTTAATGCAAATTCTATCATGTTACGTACAGAATTAAATTACAATGTCAGTAACTGATCTGATTTGGCAAGATCTTTTATTAACTTTAGATTATATCTAACTTCGCATAACTAAAGTAATAGTAAATTTTATAAGTCATAGAAGTTATAAGGCCATACATAACTTAATAGATCATAGCAGATCGTAACCAACACTGATCGCAGTTTTGTCTTTGAATTATTTATAGTTTAATATCAAAGCTAAGATATCATAGTCACAGCATTTAAATTGTCATTAAAGACTCTTAGTATTTTTAATGCTAATGTTTTTTTAATTGGTTATACTGATAAGTAGAGATTGGACCGGATAGAAATTGTTATTATATGATTACCCAAATATATCAAATATATAATAACTTACCCAGATAACCCAGGTAATTTAATAATATCTGGGTAGAGATTTTCTTAACGGGTCCAATCTCTACTGATAAGACTACAAGAAATTCTAAAACCCAAAGTTATGGCTAAATATAACGAAAAAAAACCCCGAGTTTTTTATTCTAGCCCGGTAATAGCTTTCATTCAATATCGGAAAGCACTTCTCGTAGATCAAAGACTTCGGTTGATTGAGATGATGGACAAACAGAAGGTAGGATAGAGAAATCTTCTATAAAATTTGAATTACTTAATTGAACTTGATGGTTATCATTATCTAAATAATCTAAAGATTCGATAACCTCTTGTGTAGACAAATACGGTCTGATATATTCTATTAGTACGATAGGAAGTTCAAGGTTATGTACTAGAACCTGATTTTTAATTTTTTTATGAGATTTGTTTGTATGAATTTCTTGTTTGTTTGGTAATCATCTTCATAGTAGAAAAATATTTGTTGCATATATTGCAACAGAGTCTTTGATGTGTCTGTGGTGATATCGAAGGGCACTCTTTATCATATTTAGACAACTTTGTTTTGTCCATATATTGCAAAATATGAATCAGATTCAAATAGTGACCATCTTTTCCTTTTGTCAGCAGGGGAGAAATCCATTATTTTCTTTCAATAGGTCGATTGCTTCTTTAGTATAAATATCATTACAGCAATTTTGATCAGAACATTTTCGCACATCAAGAGAATAGCGGCATAGTTGAGCATGGCGTTCTATCCACAACCATGTAGTAGGTTCTTTTCCCTTATTATGAAACGGGTCTTTTCTGTAATCAATATAATTGACATACACTTGCCTTCCATGAATATTATCACGCTTCCAAATTTCGCATAAACATTGACCAGAAAATTCAAAATTACGTTTTGCCAAATCCTCATCTATAACTACACCTTGACTATTAAGATAAGATCCTATAATTAAAGTTAGGGTAATGCATAGATTATACCCAAATTTATTTTAAGAATTTTTTTTTAATTATAAATTTTATTTAATGTTTTTATACTAACATAATATCAAATTTACAGCTTCATCAATACTAACCAGAGTTTAGAACCGGTTTATTTTTATATATTTAACAGTTTTTAATGCATGAAAATAAATCAGTTCCAAACTCTAATACTAACCAAACTTATTAATCAGAAATTCAATCCCTGCCAGCTTTTCAGAAAGTGTGCACATACTTCGCTCAACTGGATTATAAGCAGACTGGTAAGGGGCATGCGTTCGAACAGAAAGATAGTCAAGGTTAAGTTTACGAAAAAGACGGCAATATTCAACAATATTCTTTAAATGTTTCGAATTCTCATCTGGTCCTCCGTCGACTAACAAAATCCAAATAGACTTGAGACGGCCTTTATGTTTCATCATTGGCGCAAAATCATCACACTTTAAAATTTTAATTAAATCCCTCACGTAGGATAATGATGAAGTTTCTACAAAATATTCTGGTCGAACATAAATAGATAATTGATCTTGACGCAGTGTTTCATTTGTATTTTCGGGGTTGATAATAAGGTATATTAAAGGTATAAGATTTTGTTTAGGTCCGCAAAGAAAATCATAGTCAGAAACAATAACGGGTTCGTTAAGTAATTGGATACATCTAAAGGTTCTATCAACTGCCGGCATACCCAAACTAACCTTAGCCTTATCATCTTGCGAAATGATAAGGCTATGGTTAGCAAAGGTTGCGGCAAACTCTCTAGCCATTTTAACTGACGCGAGACAATAATACTTATCTACATGAAATTTCATTTCAGATCAAGATACAGCACTTATTTTAATTTGTGCAGGATGATGATGGTGACGTGCTGCGAACTGGAATATCGGAGCAAGAGATAGGTCGAAAGAGTTTGTCTCATAAGATAAACGTTATACTTTTCTTATAATTCTTCCCTTAAGTGTTTGATTGTGCGAACTTTAATCACGGTTTTTCTTCTTTTTCTTTCCGCTGCACCAAATTCAACACAATCATATATTTGATCGAGCAAATCGGAATTATTTTAAAGCTCAGATGGGCATCCTCTCCTATCATACATTACAACAATACCTTCGTTAAGCTGTTTTTTTTTTTTTTCTCGAAGTTTTGCTTGAGATATAGCATGGTTTTTAAGTGAACTAAGATGTTTTTTTTCTTTTTCAATAACCGCGTGACTATCCTTTAATTTCTTATATATCTGACGCCTAAGATCTTTGTCATTAGTAATTATTAATAGATTTTTATATTAATTTACTTTAATTTCAGCATCTTTAATTAAATTTAAAGCTTGACGTTAAGCTGATGCATTAGGTGCAAGAATATGTTCTTTGTTAGACAGATGCGAAGAAAAAGAATTGGCATGATAATTTTGAGAAATTGCAGAATTGAAACTTGAAGATCTTGAATTACAAGAACCAGGTGATAAAAAAAAGTTTGAAGTTCATATAATAGTTGGACTTGCCGCAAAATATTGGGTGATTTGGTTTTTAATGATTACTTCAGGTTCGGTTCTGCATTTTCGCCATTCTTTATTTGCTGCCTCTATCAAATTTTCCTGATTTATATTTGGATTACAGGCTTTAACCATTATAAAGAATGCAAATGCATTACAAAATTCATGGTATAAAGTTTTGGGAGCAATGTACAAATAAGTTTTTGAAAAATTTAGCATTGAAAGAAAGCTTTGTGTCATTTTAAGTGGCTAATAACACGAATTTTTTTTTTTATTCAATATTTTATATTATGAAAGAGATGAATTACAAGTCGGTTTGGTGCTTTCTATTTAAATATCTTTGCTCTCTGAATTACCAGATTCAGCGACTATGAATATAGACATGTGCAAATTCTAAAAAGAAATTAAAACGATCTAAAAGTTCTTTTTTTTTTTGAATTCAGCACATGTCTATAATTGAGAAACAAAATAAAGGTCAGATGCTGGGTAAGTATAGGAATAATTTTTTTTTTTTTTAATATTAGTAGTCGGTATAATTAACTAATATTTTGCGTCTTAGGTAGCTGCGATCAAATTATAGCATTTGATGTAATAACACTTCTACAAAATATTGTGATAGAAAAAACTCAAACTTGTTATGTAGCAGAGTTTCTTTTATAAGTATAATCCAAAATTAGAAAAATTATTTCCTGTTTTTTTTCTATTTATGGATATTGATGGAAAGTGTTGCATTTATACGTATGTATAATTCAACGTGATTAAAGATTATTTTAAGAAAGACATAAGCGATGTCAATAACATGCCTGTAAGGGTTGAATAAATTTTCATTTTATGGAATTCAATTTACGGCAATGCTATTCTCTTTATAGATGACTCATTAGCAAAACTAATATGAATTCTGAGCTTTTTTGCTATCATTCAGATTTATCTTATTAGGTTGTGTTTTTATTGCACTTGTAAATAAGACATTGCTAACTATTATCGATAAGGCATTCTTATAAACTTATGACAGTGCCAATTCTAACATGATTCTTTATTTTTTCAACAGTTATTTGAACAGGGTGAAAACCTGCAAATTTAACAATTTTTATGTGTTATAATCATTTGCCATTTAACATTTTTATATCATACAAGCTTTGGATATAATTATGTCATACATGCTATCGAAATGACCAGAACATTTGATATGAAATTTTAAATTCTGGACTCTTAATTTACGGTATTTATTTTATTTATAACGTGTTGCTATAATTAATTTTATTTTTTCATAGCAGATTTATATATTCTATTTAAATAAGGTATGTACATATGTAGATTTTCTGAGTTATACTCAAGTGTAATAAAATTGTGTTGTATATAACTCAAGATTTTGCATATAAAATACCTTTAATGTTTTTTTTTTTTTGCGAAATCAAGTAATTTTGATGGATCCTCATGCCTGAATTTCGATGTTGGCTTAAAAGAAAAATTTTGTAATTGGTTGGATAAATTATACGTATTTATTGCATGTATAACTTAAATGTTTATTTAAATTACTTATTTTTTTAATAAACAAATAGATTTTAAAGGCATTCAAATTTTTTTAAGCTTTTTTTTCTTCAAAATAGTTTAAAAATTATAAATATTGAAATAGCATTATGGCGCAAATTATCTAAAACATCCAAAACTGTAATCTCTATATAAATATTTGGGAAATCACAAAAAATAAAGCATAATTTATAGTCTCAGATAAGGTCTACGACTGATCATATATTTGTATACCGGCTAGCCAAAGATGTCAAAATAGATTCAATTAAAGGACTAAAGTTCGCAGAATATATTGAGTAATTTTAACTAAATAATTTGAACTGAAACAATGATATGCTCCAGAAAATTAGTAAATAAGGTTGCATTAGGTATTATTATAACCGTAGAATAATATCAGCCAGTGGTTTTCTGCCTTTTCAGAGCAAGCTGACTGTTAAATAAGAAAATATGGAATCAGAAAACTATCATCTGTAATGAAAAAGGGTTAAAAAATTTGTTTGTCTAAGACTATTACTGTATTGAAAGGAGAAAGTGTCAAAAGAAACTTTTTTTGTCAGTTCCTTATATATTGATTATGGTTGGTGGCTTTTCTATTATGATATAATTAATTTTCTGCTTATTAACTCATGCGATTTGATATCTTTCATTACGACTGATTGTGTACAAGCAATGAACTGATATAAATTGGATCTGTGTAGTAGACAGTGTATATATGCGCATATATTAGTGCTCTTTATATATATAAAGTGCGAGTAAATTTCTTTTTTGTATATATTTTTTTTGCATTGTACTAATAAAAATTTTTGAATTTATAATGTTGGGTGCATATAACTCGTAACCCCCAACTAGTATTACTCTTTCTTGTCAATTTGTATTAATAAAATTTAATATTAAAAATATTATCACATAGGGGGGAGGGGTATAGCTTTATAATAAAACAAAATTACATAATAAACTGCATTTCCCTTATAATACTAAAGTACTATTAATTAGTAAAATATTAAGTAATTTAGTAATTTTCATAATTTTATTAGTAAATTAAGCAAATTACTAAATTACCCAAAATTTTACTAATAAATAACACTTTAGTATCATAAGTGAACTTGTTCAGTACTCAAAATTATATCATAACAGTATATTTAGTTTTATTTTTCTTCATTTTTGAAGAGAAGATGCTTAATTTTAGAATTTTTGATCAAACATTTCAAAATTAAGCATCTTTGCTTTAAAATTGAAGAAAGATAAAATAAATCAGACTATTATGATGTATTTTTATGTGCTAAATAAGTTTTCTTATAATACTAAAGTACTATTCATTAGTAAATGTTTGAGTAATTTAGTAATTTGTATAATTTTATTAGTAAAATTATGCAAAATATCATTTTACTCAAAATTCTACTAATGAATAGTGCTTTAGTATCATAAGTGAACTTATTCAGCACATAAAAATACATCATAATAGTCTGTTTTATTTTATCTTTCTTTAATTTTAAAGCAAAGATACTTAATTTTGAAATTTTTAATCAAAAATTCCAAAATTAAGCATCTTCTCTTCAAAAATGAAGAAAGATAAAACTAAATATACCATTATAATGTAATTTTGAGTACTGAGCAAGTTCATTTATGATATTAAAGTACTATTTATTAGTAATTTGCATAATTTTACTAATAAAATTATAAAAATTACTAAATTACTCAAAATTTTACTAATTAATAGTGCTTTAGTATCATAAGTAAACTTGTTTAGCACACAAGAATACATTATAATAGCATATTTATTTTTATCTTTCTTTATTTTCCAAAAGAAGATGCTTAATTTTAGAATTTTTGATCAAAAATTTCAAAATTAAGCATCTTTGCTTTAAAATTGAAGAAAAATAAAATAAATCAGGCTGTTATGATATATTTTTATATGCTGAATAAGTTTATTTATGATAATAGAGCACTATTAATTAGTAAAATTCTGAGTAATTTAATATTTTGTATAATTTTATTAGTAAAATTATATAAAATCTTAAATTACTTAAAATGCTATTAATTAATAATACTTTTGTATAATAAGTAAACTTGTTCAAAATTTAAAAATACATTTATATATTTTAAACTTCAAACATGTTTGCAAACTTTCAAACCAAACCCAAAACAAACTCAAACTTAACTAAAAAGTTTAAAGCCAAACCCAAACCAAACATTATTTTTAAAGAAGTTTGAGTTTGAGTTTGGCTTCAAATCAAATCAAATTCAAACTAAACTAAAAGTTTGATTTGATTTGGGCTTGTAGAAGCACTACATAGCAGTAAACTAATTCATATAATCCTTTAACAGTATCAGTAAATATATAAGATATTAAATAATATCATAGGCTATAATTCTGCAAGCACTTGATCAAATTTAATAGAATGTACCTGATTAAAAATATTCAAAGACTTCTTAAACAAGTATAAGATATAGTACTAATATCTGATTAAATATTGAATAAATTAAATAAATGATTCGATAAAAGTAAGTTTTCAAGAAATGCATAATTCAAAATGTAAAAAAAGCAAACTAAATTCATAATACCAATAACCTGAATTAATATAATAAAATTGAATTCAATTCATAGAATACTTTAATGGTCTCAGTAATTATAAAAGATATTAAAGAATATCATAGGCCTTAATATTGAAAGTGCTTGATCAAATTTAATAAAATATACCTAATTCATAATATTCAAAGACTTCTTAAATACGCTTAATATAGGTACCAACAACCGATTGATTAATAAATCAGATAAATGATTTGGTAAAAGTAAGTTTTCTAGAAATGCATAATTAAATTGTTAAAAAAGCAAACTAAATTCATAATACCAATAATCTGAATTAATATAATAAAATTGAATCTAATTTATAATAGTAACCTAGTTCATAAAATACTTTAATAGCCTCAGTAAATATATAAAATATTAAATAACATCATAGGCCTTAATTTTAAAAGCACTTGTGTTAAATCTAATAGAATATACTTGATTCACATTATTTAGAACCTTCTCAAGTGAGTTTAATAATATTCATACAAGAAATTAGATATTATTATAGACTATATTGTCAAAAGTGCTTGGTTGAATTAATAAAATGCACTTTATTCGTAATCCTAAAAGACTTCTTAAATAAACCTAATATATAATACAAGCGATCAATTGTCAAGTGAATCTGATTCAAAATATCTAATAATCTTGATAATAAAAATAAGTTTTCAAGAAAGTATAACAATAATTAAAATTGTCAAAGAAGCAAACTAAATTTATAATACCAATGATCTGAATTAATATATTAAATTGGATTTATTCATAATAGTAACCCAGCTTATAAACTTTTTTTAACAGCCTCAGTAAACTCAATTCACACAAGAAATTAGGTATCATTATAGGCCTTATTGTTGAAAACACTTGGTTGAATTTAATCGAATATACCTTATTATATAATATCAGCAGCTAATTGTCAAGTAAACCTGATTCAAAATATCTAATGCCAGATAAATGATTTGATAAAAGTAAAAATATAATGATAATTAAAATTGTTAAAGAAGAAAACCAAATTCATAATACTAATAACCTGAATTAATTTATTAGATTTATAACAGTAACCCAGTTCATAAAATTTTTTTAACGGCCTCAGTAAACTCAATTCACACAAGAAATTGGGTATCATCATAGCCTTATTATTAAAAACACTTGGTTGAATTTAATAAAATGTACCTTATTCACACTTATCAAATAAACCTAATATATAATACCAGCAGCTAATTGTCAAGTAAACCTGATTTAAAATATCTAACACCAAATAAATGATTTGGTAAAAGTAAAAATATAATGATAATTAAAATTGTCAAAGAAGAAAACCAAATTCATAATACCAATGACCTAAATTAATATATTAAATTAAATTTATTTATAACAGTAACCCAGCTCATAAAATTTTTTTTAATAGTTTCAGCAAACTCAATTCATACAAGAAATTGGGGTATTATCATAGACCTTATTATTAAAAACACATAGTTGAATTTAATAGAATATACCTTATTCACACTAATCAAATAAGCCTAATATATAATACTAGCGATCAATTGTCAAGTGAACCTGATTCTAAATATCTAATGATCTAGATCTAGATAAATGATTTGATAAAAGTAAGTTTTCATGAAAGTATAATAATAATTAAAATTGTCAAAGAAGAAAACCAAATTCATAATACCAATGACCTGAATTAATATATTAAATTTATAACAGTAACCCAGCTCATAAAATTTTTTTTAATGATCTTAGCAAACTCAATTCATACAAGAAATTGGGTATCATCATAGATCTTATTATTAAAAGCACTGGTTGAATTTAATCAAATGCACCTTATTCATAATACCCAAAGACTTTTCAAATAAGCCTAATATTAATACTAGTGATCAATTGTCAAGTAAACCTACCTTATTCGTAATACCCAAAGACTTCTCAAATAAGCCTAATATTAATATCAGTGATCAATTGTCAAGTAAACCTGATTCAAGATATCTAATGACTATATAAATAATTCAGTAAAAGTAAGTTTTTAAAAAGCATAATGATAATTAAAATTGTCAAAGAAGCAAACCAAATTCATAATACCAATGAGCTGAATTAATTTATTAGATTCATAACAGTAACCCAGCTCATAAAAAATTTTTAACAGTCTCAGCAAACTCAATTTATACAAGAAATTGGGTATCATCATAGACCTTATCAATAAAAGCACTTGGTTGAATTTAATCAAATGCATCTTATTCATAATACTCAAAGACTTCTTAAATAAGCCTAATATTAATACCACCGATCAAACCTGATTCAAGATATCTAACAACCAGATAAATAATTCAGTGAAAGTAAGTTTTCAAGAAAGCATAATGATAATTAAAATTGTCAAAGCAAACTAAATTTATAATACCAATGATCTGAATTAATATATTAAATTAAATTTGATTCATAACGGCAATCTAGCTTACAGAATACTTCAACAGTCTTAGTAAACTCAATTCACACAAGAAATAGGTATAATAATAAACACTAATATTGAAAGCACTTGGTCAAATTTAATATAAAGTTTCAAGACAATTTAAGTAAGCTGTAATATTTATAAACACGTATGTATAAATTTTTAACTTTAAAGTATATATTAATATTGATACGAAAAATAAGGTTTCATATAGACGTACATTTAAAGTTTCAACTTTCGGGATGATAATCATTGTGCATACATAAAAATTCTAGATTAACTATCGGATTGCCGGATCAATCCGAATTTCGGATTCGTTTCGGTTTATTTCAGTTTAATTCCGGATTAACCGTCAGATTGGCCCCGGATTGTGTCCGGATCAATCCAAAATTCAGATTCGGATCGGATTCGGATTAATCCTGGATTAACCAGGATTTTTAATCCAATTTGGAACACTACTTAAAAGTTTTGCCAACAAGTATATAAAAGCATGTTTAAAGGATGTCTAAAAATCTATAAACTTTATTTTAGAATTATACAGTATATTTGACTATATAATAATAAACCACCTTCATTAATAGAGCTACAACTGCACCAAATCTCTCAGCTTGCTATTTCAGTGTTGAAAATGTCTACTTCGCGTGCTCTCAAAGTTTTGAACTTGAACGTGAATACAAGGATTCAGGTCGTTAAAGAATTTTTCATTATAACTGTGATGGCAAAATATCAATTAAGATTGATATTCTGGTAGCAGAAGCAAAAATTGTATTAAAGCATAAATTTCTTCATGAAAGACCTGTTGATATTACAATGCCATCTGAAATAAAGGAAGAAATTAGTAAAAATTTAAACTTGAATCCTGTGAAATTGCGAAAATATTTTCATAAAAAGTTTGACTTATCTAATATTACATCTAAGCAGATTCATTACTGATGGTTGCATTATACACAACAATTTTATAGAAGTGACGAAAATCATATTGTTTTAGCATGTATGTTTTTTGAACAGCAATATGAAAATGCATGCATATTATGCTATCAGCTTGAAACAGATAATACGACAGTCATTGGCTTCACAACCAAACTACTTAATCAATCATATTATTCAAAAATATACTGTGATGCCACCTATAAGACTTCTAAGGGAAAATTCGAACTTTACAGCCTTGTTGATAATGTTAAAGGTGCTAGTTTTCTCTTGGCATATCTAATTTTAGATATAACAAAAGTCTCAAAAAATGAAAATCAGGAAGGGTTACGAACTAATGCATAATAGGTTTTTTTATTCTCTTTGCGATAAAGGTTTAAATCTAATCTTTTTTGTATGATAAAGACTTCACTGAGATAAATGCTGCAAAAAAAGTGTGGCCTACAAGTGATATACAACTTTGTCAATAGCACATTAACAAAGTGCTTAAAGAAAAATTAAAAAGTCATAAAAAAATTGAGCAGTTAAATTATAGTTATGAAGATGTTATAAAAGAATTTACTTTTATAAATTCTTCTTTTATGTCTGATTTGCAGCATACGGATAATAAATACTATATAATTTGTCCACCTGCTTTTTGTAAAACTGTTATTGAAATAGTTAAAAACTATTTCAATATGCATCCTAAAATAACTACTAATAATGGTCAATTTCTTTCTCCTAAAGAAATAAGAACAAAAGCAGTTTTTGAAATATATGAATTTTGTTGTGGGCCTATTTCTAGTCTTCCTGATATAAGCCTATGTGATTGTGTTTGTTAATATGTTCTACAAAAATGACTATACTACTCAGCAAAACTAACATGATGATAGAGGCAGAATGGAGGATCCTAAAACACTGTTATCTCTACCAATTTAACCGCCCATGACTTGACTACCTAATAAGGATTATTTGCACATGCATTATACCTGACCAAGCTAATCATCTCTAACAATTATTAACTGGCAGGATAATACCATTATGGTTTGAAGAATTTAAAAAGGAATAGAGAAATCTTCTTACCAAATCAGTTAATACTGCAAAAAGTCAATATTTTATTAACTTGGAACATTGGATTTGCAGTTGTCCATCATTTCTTTGAAACCACTTCCTCCTATGCAAGCACCTAATTCATAAAGCATCAGAAAAATCAGGGTCTCAAGGCATTCGATTAATATTTTCAAATTTAAATAACAAACTGACTATCCTTTTTTAATTTGGAATGAAAAGTGATCACAAAATATACCTGAAAGTATAGAAACTTTTAGAATACATAATAAAAATAATTTCTTTAATCAAAACCTTATAAATGAAAATGAAAAAGATACTACCAAAAGGCATCAAAATATAGAATCAAAAGTAGTGACATTGCAGCATTTGGTTAATCATGTTAATGAGGAATTGAATGTGAATAATTTTCAGCATGTAGAAGCCATTATTAACAATTTAGACCATGCTTTTACAATTATCTCAGATATTGAAAAAGTAAAAAACCAAAGAGTCCGACATATGAACTGGCATGATTCAAAACCTTGGACATTATTCCTAAATTAATAATATAACCTTTCAGTATTTTTATTAGTTAAACAAAGTCTATATTACTATAGCATAAAATTCAGTTAAATTCTTAATATAGTGCTTCATTTTGGTCATTTATATCTTCAAAGCTGCTGTTTCTTAAATCCACGTTCTTTGCAAATAAGTAATAAAAAGTTCGTGAAGATTTTTCTCAGTTACAATAAAATAGCATACTAACTTTAATTAACTTACTGCTTTAAAAAAAATATGCGACAGAACTAAAAACATATAGTTACTTGATATACGTATCAACTATATGAATTAGTTGTACTGTATCAGTCACTTTCGTACTACATACTATCTGATTATCGTTATGTATTTAGACGTCATATCAATCTTGTATCGGATATGCACGGTCGCACATCATCAGGGTCGGCTGGCACGTGACAGTAAAATCAGTCCTACGCCCTGTCAAAATCCTTAGGGGCATGCCTCATGCCCCTGTGCCCTAAACCCTAGTCAGGTGATAATATAGTTTAGGCCGATTTGATAGTGTTAGTAAACAAATGACGTCATTGCAATGTTTCACGTGATGTGATTATCACTGGGTTAACTATTCTTCAAGTGTCCCTCAAGAATATTATGGACATGTGTTAATCTAAGCGTTTGAATAAGCTATTAAATTTTACGAATATTTACTATTTTCCAATTCATTATGCTAATTTAGTGTAAGAGTGTAGGAACACTTATTAATTTTGACATTTAAAGTAAGCTAATTTTAAAGATCGTTTATTAATAAAAGTATTTAAAGTAAACTATTAAACTTCACGAATCTTTACTAATTAAGCTTTATTATTTGATTTAATTAGTACGTGATGTTCGAACAAACACTCTTTCTCTCAATAATAATTCGGACCATAATTTTAATATTCCTGACCAGAATTTTCAGCATGATCCATTTTTACCATGATCCGCGACAAGTATTATACAAGAAAAATGTGACAATAACATCTATGACGAAATTTTTCGTAACATTATTAACATCATGTCCGGATCCGGTTATTAAGTTTGTTTGGGTATTTAACTAGTTCAGAATAGCTAGTGTAATGAATAAAATTTTTCTTTTCTTTCTTATTTTATTTTTTTTATATTAGCATAGTTTATACTCTTTTATTATTTTTATGCATATAGTTCCATTGTACAGACTTTTTTTCGTATCGTATAAATATTTTAATCAAGTATACTAAAATGGTAGTTGATCGTGGATTGGCGCGTATACGCTCATAAAAATCGCGTATACGTGCTTACACAAATTTGTTAATCCCTGCTCCATGAGCGTATAGCGTAAACGTTCAAAACAAGAGCGTATACGCTCAAAGCAAGAGCGTATACGTTCAAAAAGGGAGCGTAAACGCTCCAACAAAACAAAATGTATATAAGTGCCTGAAATTCAATTCGATAATTTGTCCACTTTCAATTCCAAAAAGACAATAAGGTGTTATACTTATCTGAATTTTTCCCTTGTGTGCTATCTATTGAATTCGACTTGTAACTTTAATAAACCCTTTCGAGACTCAATTCGACGGACTAAATTGACTTGTAACTTCGATTTAAATTATTAAGACTCGGATTCTAGAACGTTTGTGGAATCAGATATTGCATTAACATTAGTTACTTGTGGGAATTGTGGTAGAGAACGATATTTACAACTGGTTATTCGACTCTGGAATCCATCACAGTCCTTAAGATCACCACTTATTATCACCCTTGACAGCATCACCCGTCATTGCATTACCCATTATTATCGCTCATTTATATCAAAGTATTACTCTATAGTGTCTATCACCCTACTAGTTCCTTAATACTTATAAACGACCCATTTCGCTTACCCAAAGTTAGTCTTATTTTCCGTCACCGTTGGAGTTAGATTGGCATAATTCCTGTCCTATTTTATTAGCTCTCCTATTCAACGGTTACACTAGGGTTCGGAATACACAAGTTTAGTTTAGAATGAATTGTCTATCGTGATCTGCATTAAACTTTATTAAGCAATATTTTCTTACTTACTATACAGTGCCAGATACAATCAAAAGGCTTCTATGTACTAAAGCTACTATTTACATTATTGTTATAAAAAAATTACTTTTTATGTGTAGGAATTAATAGTCTTCTGATTCGTTTCGAAAACGAATATTATAGAGAATTTAAATTTATCATTTTACTGTAATTTTATCAATCTGAAAATTACAACCGTTTTTTTTTGTACTGCATCTTGAAAAAGCCGAATGGATTCAACGGGTAATTCTTTATTTACTGACATTTAGTATCTATTATGTTTAATGTATTGTTTGTCCTCTATTTAGAACATTATCTAGAATTTGCCACACAACTAGCTCAACAATGTGGGCAAATAATTCTTGAAGCATCAAAAACAAAGTATGCTACTGGTAATAAAGTATTTGAAAAGTTTGGTGAACAAACCGACTTAGTCACTGAAACCGATATAAAAGTTGAAGAATTCATCAAATCAAAGCTGAAAGAAAAATTTCCGGATCATATGTAAACAGTTTATATATATTATTGTGCATTATTATCTAATTTAACCTTTAAACGTACAATTAAGTTGATATTTAAAGGTTTATCGGAGAAGAGACAAAAGCCGCCGGAAATCATTCTGAATTTACAGATAAACCAACATGGATTGTTGATCCAATAGGTGAGATTATATCGTCTAACTAGAATTTAATCGTATATAATACTAATGCAAATTTAATGATTTAGATGGAACAACCAATTTTATTCATGGGTATAAAATAGATTTATTCTCTCTTATTTCTGCAATAAAAATTAAATTTATTTTATTTCATTATAGCTTTCCTTTTGTTGCTGTCTCAATTGGACTAACTATCAATAAGGAACCCGTTGTTGGTGTTGTGTTTAACCCATTCCTTAATGAAGTGAGTAATATAATTTATTATAAATGTCTATAGATAATATAAAGAAACCAGCATGCCACTATTTAACATGTTATCATGGCATGCTGGTATGTCATGCCTAAATTTTTAAACTCTATTCGGCATGCTGCTATTAGTAAATTCATACAGTATTGGATAGCATAGGACATATACTCTATACATATAGAGTACCAATTTTTGATCTTATATAATCAATTCTGATTGGGCATATATCTTTTCTTTTTTTATATTAAACGCCAATTGTATAAATAATTATAAACTTTAACTCTTAATAACTCTTTTAAACCAAAAAAAAATAACAAAATCCTCTGACAGAAATGTAATTTAGCTAAAAATATATCAATTTATTGAAGGATTTTTTTATTTAACTTGTTTTGAAAAAGTTATAATGATTTAAGGTAATAAATAGTGGATGCGTTTGTTGTCCGGTACTGTATTAAATTTGATCGAACCAAAAGTGACATTATATATACAATATATTTATTAATGTATATATATTTGTATATGGAATGACAACTATAATTTGGTATGGCATGAATTTTGGGTTAATAGCATGCCACACGGCATACCAAATTTTTAAGCCATATCAGTCACCCTATAGCAATTGCTTATTTTTATATTTCTTAAAAATAAAGCTATTCACTGCTCGTAAAGGTCATGGCGCATTTTTAAATCATACAACTAGACTTCCATTATCCCATCCATCTTCTCCTCCTGTATTACCATCTAGTCTTTCTCAATGCTTGGTGGCTTACGATTTTGCTGGTGCAAATAGATCGGACTCAACCCTTAGTAAAAAGATTAATTCACTGCATAATTTGTTAAGATCACCCGGAGAAGTTTCTTGGAGTTCCAAAAAAGCTGGAACAGTACGCGGCGTTAGATGTTTATGTAGTGCTGCTATTAGTATATGTTATTTGGCCAAAGGTTGTTTAGATTTTCATTTTGCGAAATGTTGGGAATGGTTTGTAAATTATTTTCATTACTATCAAACTACAATAGCATCATTTTTTTTTATTTATATTTTCTATAATTTTTATAATTTATAGGGATGTGGCGGCAGCTCTTGTTATTCTTGTTGAATCAGGGGGTATCATGGTTAATGGTCACGGGTTCAATGAAGGTCCAGTAGACATTTTTGGTCGCAAATACTTAAGTATTAGAGGTGGTTCGCCATGTGAGGGTGATGAAAATTCTAAACAAAGTCAATTACGCCTTATTAGAGAAATGTTGGATGTTATTGAAGAAATTGATTAACCAAGATTTTAATTGGTATTTATATTATTTAATACATACGTCATACAAATTATATCTTTAATTAGGTTAACTAAATATGTTTTATAACAAATATTATATGAGTAATACCTAAAACCACTGGAATCTCATTGGAAATCAACTGAAGTTTCTAAAAAAAAAAACATTAATAATTCAAAATTTTATTAAGTTGATCTTCTTTCAACACTTAAGTAAAACGTTTAGAAATTATTGTTTTAATATAACTTTTCAAATTAAAAATTGTGAAATTGATGAGACAAAGCCAATGCTCAGGACAGTCAAATGTACAACACTGGTTTGAAGTACTACGAGTTAAACTTATTTATAAATGTACAAATTAATCCTATATATTAAAACTCTGTGTCCGTCCGTACGCTATTGACCAATTGAAATGTTCCAACGTATAGTGTGTGGCTGGCTCAACTAACAGAAATGGCTATTATTGTCACCGTTGCTGATAGGTTACCAAATTTTGTTTGATATATTTAAGAAAATTATTTCGACTACAGTTTGTTAAGTGAACTACGGGTTTTCAACATTGGTAAGTTTTGATGCGATACTTGAATGTGTGTCAGGTTTATGCGCAGTCAAAATTCTTTAAAGTTCTTTTAAAGTTTAGGGCTTTTATTGTAGTTAGAAGTTATGAGAGCATATAGTAAAATTATTCAATGAAAACTTTTTGTTAGAGTGTAAAGAGTAGTTTTATATGTAATTTTTCAAAAATTGCAGTTTTGATAAAGAAAGAATGGAAAAACAAAAAAAACATGTATTAACCCACTAATGTTCATCTATTACAATACAACGAACCAGAAACTAATTTGAACTAAAGTCTATATGATAAAATTGATAAAACTTGTTTTAAAATATGAAAAATAAAACCAGTTCTAAACTCTTAATCATGACTAACTTTATGATCATTTCAGATCAAATATAGTATAGATTACCCTTTTAAAAAACTATTTAACTCACTAATTTTATATAATTATTTTATTGTAATTATATTATAATTAATATTTTAATCAATATTAAAAAGTTAATTTAAAAGATTATAGTATAATATATAGTAATTAATATTAAGGAGTAAGCTATACTATATTTGATCCATTATTTCTAAAGATATATAAGTTATTATTCATGTGCTATAAATCCTATATGTATATATTTACTATATATTAAAACACAAATGTCTGTTATGCTATTGACCAATTGAAAATTTCTAATTCATATTGTTTGTTAATCACAGGCAGGTAAGAATTTGGCTGAAGAATTATAAAAGTTGTAATGTTTGATATAAATATTTATTTACTTTCTAAATTTGTAATTAGCAAAGCCACAGGATTCAAGGTTATTACTAGAAAGTTAGGTGGGCTTACTAAAAAGTCAGTGTAGTACTTTTACAAGTGTAGTTTACTCTTAGAAGCTTAAGAAGTCAATCAGGTATTTTTGTAAAAAATATCTGAAAATGCTTTTTTTTTTTTAGAACAAGCTTTTTAGAGAAGATGCAATTCTTTACTTACTTTTTTGTTGATTTTACAGTGAGTAAGTTCTTTATATTTATTTTTTTTACAGTAAATAATAGTAAATTAATGGCTTAATGAATATTAATTCTAACTAATCTACTTACCTTTTGTCATCTATATAGGAGGTAAGTTTTTTATATATAATTTTTTTTACAGTAAAAAATGATACAAATCAATGCCCTATTAAACATTAATTCTAACTAATCTACTTACATTTTTGACACCTATATAGTTTGTAAGTGTTTTATATACAATTCCTTACTTTTTGGCACTTCTATAATGAGTAAGTTCTTTATATATGACCTTTTTTTTTTTACAGTAAATAATAGTACAAATCAATGCCCTATTGAACTTTAATTCTAACTAATTCTCTTACTTTTTTTGTATTAACAAAAAGTAAGTAAATTAGTTAGAATTAACATTTGATAGGACATTGATTTGTACTATTATTATTGTAAAAAAAAAGTCATATATAAAGAACTTATTCACTGTAGAAGTGACAAAAAAGTAAGTGGATTAGTAGAATTAACATTATTATTTCTGTAAAAAAAATTATATGTAAAGAGCATATACTATATAGGAGTTAAGTTCTTTATATATGACTTTTTTTTTTACAGTAAATAATGATACAAATCAATGCCCTATTGAACATTAATTCTAACTAATCCACTTACTTTTTTGTCACCTACAGTCAGATCCCTCTATATGCACTCTCTCTAAATGCAGCACTCTTCTAAATGCATGATACGTATAAGCCTGGGCCCATAGTGGAACTTATAGATAAATGCACATTCTTTATTCTGTAAGTGCACACTAATTGTCTGGCCTACTTATCTCTCTATAAATATAGCCACATGATTATCAACCAATCAAATCCATTATTCTAGGTTACTAAAATTATAATTATCACATGATAATAGTCATGTTGTGATTTTATTAGTGTTATTTAATTACAGCCCTCTAAATACATGCTCTAAAGCTGGTCCCAATGATGTGCATTTAGAGAGGTTTGGCTGTATATAGTTTGTAACTTCTTTATATACAACATTTTTTATAGTAAATATTGATACAAATCAATAACTTATAAAATATTAATTCTACTAATTTACTTACTTTTTTGTCACTTCTACATTGAGTAAGTTTTTTATATACAACTTAGTTTTTACAGTAAATAATAGTATATATCAATGCCTAATGAATGTTAATTCTAACTAATCTACTTACCTTTTGTTATCTATATAGGAAGTAAGTTCTTTATATATGACTTTTTTTTTAAGTAAATAATATATAATACAAATCAATACCCTATCAAATATTAATTCTAACTAATCTACTTACTTATTGTCACCAATATAAGTTTGTAAGTTATTTATATAATTTTTTTTACAGTAAATAATAGTACAAATTGTATACTAATTTTACAATCTACTTACTTTTTTATTATTTATAACATGAGTTTTTACATTTAAATTTTTTTTGAGTTCACCTCATTTCACTAACACTTATTTTGTAAACATAGCACTTAACCAACATTCACTGATATTTAATTCACTAACAACTAATTCACTGATACTTAATTTAACAACAAGCTTAATTCACTGACAACTCAATTTGCTAACAATCAATTCACCAATACTTAATTCATCAACAATCAATTCACTGATACTCAATTTACCAACAATCAATTCATCAACACTCAATTCACTAACACTCAATTTACCAACAATCAGTTCACTAATACTCAATTTACTGACAATCAATTTACTAAACACTCAATTCACCAACAAAGTAATTATACCAGAATTATGTTTACTGTAAGATTAGTGAATTAAACTGTAAAGTTAGTGAATTAAGCTTGTTAGTGAATTGAGTATCAGTGAATTGATTGTTAGTGAATTGATTGTTAGTGAATTGATTGTTGATAAAGTGAAATAAATGTTGATAAAATGAGCAAAACCAGTTTGCAACAATAAATAGATTCATTATTTTAACAATAAGTAGTGATAGGTTTGTAAGTTTAGCAGTAAATTGCAATTTCAACAGTGAATAGTTCATGACTTAAATAAAGAGTATGTTCATAATTTCAACAGCAAGTATATTTGTAATTCAACAGTAAATGAGCTAATATTTTGGTAATAAAAAAATAGCAATCTAACATCGCATAATGAGACAATTAATTTAGAGATTTTAACTTACAGAAATCTAACATAAATATGGGAGTAGTCAAATATATATTTTAATGAATGTCTGCTTTATCTAATTTTGGTAATATACTGACCAAATTACCTCAAATCTTCAATCAAACAATACATCACTAACTACAAACACCAATGAATCACTTGAATGCACATGGTACAAAATACAAACAAGTATAATCTCAGCAGCATTACAATATATACCTAATAAGCGATTTACTGTACGCAATTTCTAGCATATATACTCACCTAAAGCATCTCAACTACACTTTTACCTTAAAAAATTAAGTAATATTATCCATCAAATTAAAGCAATTATTAGAAATCAAAACCAAACACCTATACCTAGCCATCATAATGTCACAATTAATACTATTAACCTAACTCATAACCTTGATATACCTTCTTTACCAACTAGTCATGATCAACTACCTAGCTGGATTAATCACAGCAACGAAGCATAGAAAGCTCTCTACTATGCACATAATTTAGAAAACATTAAAGAAATAAGGCAGCAAATTAATGAAAACATCTCAAAAAGATGTGATAAGCTTCACTCCAATCTAAAATTTATGATTAATAGTATACTCAACTAACATAAAGATCTCGTCAAGTTCGACAATATCAAATTAGATAACAATATTATTACTAACCACATAATATTAAAGCACATATTCAGAAACATTTCGACCAATGGACTGGCCTTTGGACTATTAATCAAACTATTTATAATCAAACTTGACAAAATAAATATCAACCTCTAGATCATATTAACTCAGACTGGTATCAAAGTGCACTTCTTGAGTTCTCAATTGAGGAGGTATCATCTACCCTTGCACAATTACCAAATAACAAAGCTTGTGGCCTATCAGGCATCAGTTATGAGATGCTTAAACACACAGGCTTACCTTTCCTTCAAGCTATTACATCTTTATTCAACAGAT